AATGCTTTTATTTAGCAACGATACATATAAAAGTGACGATACATATAAAAGTGACCGTGAAGACATTTTTAATATTACAATAAGATTTCTATCCATTGATAATGAACATTGAAGACTGGAGTAATGGCTGCTAAAAATTCAGCTTTGCCATCACAGGAATAAATTGCATTTTAAAATATATTAAAATAGAAAACAGTTACTTTAGAATTCTAAGAATATGTCACAATATTTTTGTGATAAATGCCAAAAAACAAACAAACACAAAAAACTTCCGCCCCCAAACCTTGGAATGATAGTTAATTGACACTCACTGGACACTTCATTAGGTACACTTGTTCTACGCACGTTAATGCAAATATCTAATCAGCCAGGCACATGGCAACAACTTACTGCATTTAGGCATGTAAACATGGTCAAGACATCTCTAGGGTTTACAGAGAATGGTCTGAAAAAGAGAAAATATCCAGTGAGCGGCAGATCTATGGGCGAAAATGCCTTGTAGATGCCAGAGGTCAGAGGAGAATGGCCAGGCTGGTTCGCACAACACATCGAACCTTGATGCAGATGGTTTACAGTAGCAGAAGACCAAAGAAGATTGGAAAAAAGGTGCCTTGTCTGATGAGTCCCGATTTCTGCTGCAACATTTAGATGGGGCGGTCAGAATTTGGCATAAACAACATGAAAGCATGGATCCATCCAGCATTATACCCACTGTTCAGGCTGGTGGTGTAATGGTGTGGTGGATAATTTCTTGTCACACTTTGGGCCACTTAGTACCAATTGAGCATTGTTTAAATCCCACAGCCTACCTGAGTATTGTTGCCGACCATGTCTGTCCCGCCTTGTCATAAAGCTCAAATCATCTCAGACTGGTTTCTTGAACATGACAATGAGTTCACTTTACTCAAATGGCCTCCACAGTCACCAGACCTCAATCCAATAGAGCACTTTTAGGATGTGGTGAAATGGGACATTTGCATCATGGATATGCAGCCGACAAATCTGCAGCAACTATGCGATACAATCATGTCAATATGAACCAGAATCTTTAAGGAATGTTGCACCTTGTTGAATCTATATCACAAAGAATTAAGGCAGATCTGAAAGCAAAAGGGAGTCCAAGCTAGTACTAGAAAGGTGTACCTAATAAATTGGCTAGTGGATGTAAAAATATGTCTATTTTTATTTCTGTTTATGTATTTATTTCTTTATATATTTTACAGAGGCGGCCTCCTGATAACTCCTTTTATGTACGGACATGTAATAAAAATCCAAAGAAGACAAAATGGTGGTATCATGGTAAGAACTAATATTTGAATTGCCAATAAATAAAACATTTGTTGAGGAAATGCATTTTAAATATATTTAAAAATCTGCCTTTTTTTCCACAGATGATACCTGTTAATATGAACTTTCTAGAACTCCCGGAGGGAAGAAGTCCTACTGACATTATAAAAGCACTTTTTGATAGCATATGGTCTCTGAACTTTAAACTTGGACTCAAACACAAGCATGGACTCAGACCACAAACATGGGAGATGATATCAGCTGTGTTACCGGTAGCCAGTTGGATGCATGTTTGGGGAAAAATAAAAACAGACGAAGAATGGAAATAAATTTTAAAGAGGATGGAAACAGACCTGTCAAAGGGTTGGTGTGGAAAAATGTAGATAAATCCAGGAAGAAGGATTTTTATTTTATTTTTTTGTAATGAGATTATTTCTGTCTTGGACCACACATATTCCTGTTCATTTGTATGTTTCATATGTTTCAAGGTCCACGTGTCTTGTGCAATAACAAGGATAGGTGCATAGCAGGGCAAATTCCAAAACCACCAAAACCAATCTGGAAATGATTGTAGTGTCCTTTCCTTTTTCTCTTTCCTTATATTCCTACTGAAATGATATGCACTGTGAAATGATGAAAGAAAAGACCAGTTCATTCTGATGAAGATATGGCGCACCGCTTCAGTTAGTTTCTGATGTTCCAAAGTAAATAGTTTAATTTAAGAAAGGTACTGTTTTATCTCATTCATCTCAAGTTCTGCTATCACTCGAAATGGTGGTTTCATTGTCATTTATGCTTGTTAGGACTATAATTTGTCTGTTTGAGCATCAAAACCAGCCTTGACCATCCATGAACTCATATTTTCCTCTACCAAGTGATATGGGATGGAACCAGTGTTGTATGTAGGTTTGCCATTAAAGCTGAGCTGTAGGTAACCCAGTATATTGAATGTTGGCAAGAACAATCTGTCTTGTATTCTTATTTGTATAAAATGTTTTTGTTATGAGGCGTATACATATATATATATATATATATATATATATATACACACATACAAACACACTATACAATAATTATATTTCTAGTTATTTATAAACCAATATTTTAGAATCCTTAAGATACTGTATATATATTAAATATGCATATATTATATTATATGCAGATCTATTATATGCATTATAGATTGTATTTAATATTCACTGTAGGTAATATACATTTATTAACAGTGTGCATGTGTGTGTGTATATAGGCTATATATTAAAGACTTAATATTCTGTAGTCTATTATTAATAAGAAAAATTTATATATATTATGCATTAGATATTTAATATTAATTGTGTAGTATAGGCTATATATACTGTATTAATACATGTATGTATACTAGGCCTATACATTAAGTAATAATTATAGTTATACAATCATATTGTATTTTACATGTAATATACTTATATTTATTACCAGAGTATATACTCTGTAAATAAATAATACATGTAATAGTGTTTTAAATACGTTTGAAAAAGTCATGTAGTATGGTATTTAAACGTATAGTAGTGCATGAATTCATCCCTAGTTGGTATAAGGAAGCCGGACTGTACCATCTGCGCGACAGAGGAGGGGTGCAGTCTTTTCGCCATCCTCAAAGAACTAAGTACAAAATGGACTAAAACTGTAGTAAATGTAAACATAAAAACATAAAATTCACCAAGCAGTGCTGTGCCGTCGTCCAAGTGGACTATTTTTGGAAAGGCACATGTTGTTCAAATGTTGGTTTGGTCCTGGTACCATCAGTTCTCTTTAGTGTTTGCCAATGTTGGAGGTGTAACTGGGGTCTGGCCCTGGACGAAGGTAAACTATTATTATTAAATGCGTTGTGGTTTAAAATAGCGATGAATTCAGGATTGCAGCTGAAACTGCGCTCTGTCGTTTGGTTGTTTGGTGGCAGCACAGGCAGTGTGTATCGAGATGTGAGGGGTATTTAGTCGTTCAGCCATGATGTTTGCACATTCCCAGCTGAGTTCAGACCGGTGGCCTGTGTGCTGGAGAGGAAGGTTGTGTTTCAAAACACCGATTAGGGTTCGAGACACAATCCTAGCCGAGTTGATTTTAATGTTTGAACGACTATAATATATCCCAGCAACGTGTCTTGATAATCATCAGATCTAAGAAAATGACACCATCAGTGAGTGCATAGATATAGAGACAACTGGGAAGAGAGTGACCTCACTTTTGAGAGTCAGGTTTACAAAGAAAGCTGTCTTCTCATCTACTGCACTAACAATCTCCATGATGGATCCTAGTGGTCCAATGTCACTCCGTTGGCTTGATGCTGACTTGCTTCCAGTCCTTCATTTGTCACACTGGGTTTAAGGAATAATGTCATGCATTGCATTTGATACTTTTATAGTGTGGAGATGTACAGGAATTATGGAAATATAAGATGATTTTAAAAGGGTTAGTGCCAGGTCTGGTAAAGGCCAAGGAAGCGATTAAAATCTTAAAGATTGTTGTAAAAGTATTGGAAATTTGTATTGGAAATTTGTTTGTCCTGTGGGTAACTACAGGAAAACATAAATACTGAAGTTTTCCTTTAGTCACCTCTAAAGTGTTATATTAGCTATTCCCCCCTTTCCCCCCCCCCCCATACGTTCAGTTGGGTTTTTAACATCCTTATCCTATTACTATGAAAGACTGGTAAAGTCATTGAATTTCATTGGTCAAAATGTGCGGTATTATGTTCTCGTCATATTTGATGCCGACTGGCAAACAGTGACATGAACATATAAAGTCAAACAAGAACACATCAAATCCTTTTATTAATAAACTGTAACAGTTACCTAATTGTTGCTGGATTAAGAGCTGATGGTATATTCTTCACATTTCTCACCAAAATAGCAGTGTTATTTTAGTACTATTTATGTAATGTAGTATTTATTGATCTTTTTTGAGTTGGCTTGTATTTTCAGTTTGCATTTTCATTTTAGTTTGTTGTAGTATATTTGTAATGTGCTTTTAAATTTTTTATATTATATTTATTTTACTTTTTTATATTTCTGTTTAGCTTTCAGTTGTTTTTTATTTTAGTTTTAGTCATTTTAGTACTTCAACATATTGCAAACTTCAAAAAAAAAAATTCAGTTAAAGTAAAATTATTTTCAATTTTAAAACTTATTTTATTTCAGTTGCCAAGTTTGTTTAAATTTTAGGTTTTTAATTTTACTTTTTAGGCAACACTTTACAATAAAGTTCCATTAGTTAATGTTAGTAAATGTATTAACTAACATGAACAAATAATAAACAATACATTTATTACATTATTTATTCATCTTTGTTAATATTAGTTAAAGCTGCAGTCCGTAAGTTTTGCCTCTTTGTCGCCATCTCTGTTTGAAAACCTGGAATTGCAGCTGTGTGCGGAATTGTCTAGCTTGCGTGGGTTGTGAGTCGGCGCGGCTCCAGCGCGGATTAATCTATGTTATGAAGAGCATGTGTGGCAGTCAGTCACAGCACCGGTGTGGATATTTACTGTACTTCACAATCACAGATTCTAGCCTACGTCTTGGAATATGACCCAAATAAGAATTTTCACCGTATATTGCCATCTGAACAAGTAAGTAACAAGTCTGCCACGTTTGTTCTGACCAACTGAGGAAAAAAGCATTACCATAAATCTAGCTACCATGACTTTCTAACATTTACAGATGAAGAATATAACTGTGACATGTCCGTTATGCACTGGGGAAAACACAACGTCTCAAATGCATTAAACAACACAAATATATTGTTTGTGCTGTTTGCCATGGTGGATCAATTTGATCCATGATCGACATTAAGGGCTGGCATTATCTTGACTCACTGAACCTGGATCAAATTAGTGAGATTGTGTGAACTTAAATTGTCGTTTATGAAACCGCTTTAGTCCCGATTGATTTGTTATGTTATTTCAAGTCAGGTTTTGGACTTTAATCCCCGCTTATCTTAGCGTCTTTTATGAAACAGCCCCCTGGTCATTATACAAAAAATGCAGCTGTATATGTTTTGGGGTAACACTCTAAGGTTCCATTAGTTAATGTTAGTTAAGGAATATGCAGTCGTTCATTGTTAGTTCATGTTAATTTACAGTGCATTAACTAATGTTAACAAGCACAACTTTTGATTTTAATAGCTAATGCATTTGGAAACGTTGAAATTAACATGAACTAAGATTAATAAATGTTGTAGAAGTATTGTTCATGCTTAGTTCATGTTAATTAAAGTAGTTAACAAATGGTAACTAATGAACCTTATTGTAAAGTGTTACCCAGTTTAATTTCAACAGTTTTTTAGTTAACAATAGTAACAATTCAGTTATATTTTACTATGATTGTATCCATTTAAGTGCTTGTTGAGTTTGAATACACTTCTGTGTTATGAAAGTAATGCTTTATCTTTTGTGTTGCACTTTCACAGCAGTCTTTGACATTTGTTTAGACATAATACTGATATGACAGCCTGCCAACAATATATGTTATTATTGTCTGACAGAGTTAACTTGGAGTTAAAAATGCTACAGATTTGTCTGTTTGGCTTATCCAGTTTGAAACAGTTTCAGGGCCTTGACCATGTCTGTCCTGTAATGAAGTGGAAAGGACATTTTGTGTGTAGCCTACAATACCACAGTCTAAATATTGACGTTGAGGAAGATTGATTCATGTTAAATCATGTTGTTTTAACAGCGATAGAGCATGGCTCAAGTGAAAGTGCAGACATCAGCCCCCTTGTCTGGACCTGGCCTGACTGCCGTTGCACCCGCTGTGGCCATGCCCAGCCCAGGAGCTCTGGGTCTGCAGCCCACCATCAATGGCACAGTGCCAGCCACAACGCCCACCTGCCCCAGCCCTGCCTCTGGCTTTGTGGACTCCACTGTACCAGCCAGCCCGTCAGGTACCGGGACGCTGCATACATTCAAATCCGTTTGCCAGTGTAGTTTACAACGTTTATAGTGGTAATGCTCGTTTTAACTGCTAGCATAAGCTGCCGTGGATGTCCTGTGTCCATTAAAGCCCTTTATTAGTCAGTTCAGTTCAGTTTGTTTAGATGTATTTTTATTATGATTAAATTGCAAAATGAACAATTTTAGTGGGCCCAAAGCATTTGGACCATTAAAAATGTTTAAATTTGATTCATTAGATAGCAAAATATGAAACCAGGTGCCATTATTTTAAGGACAGATAGCACACACACAGTTTTCAAGCAAAACATTTCACAAAAAGATTTTTGTTTGGTTTTATATGGTAACATACACTAGCATCTAAAGCTTGTGGTTCTTAAAATGTTTTAAAACATTTTTGAAAGAAGCCTCTTATGGTGTCCTAGGTTGCTTTTATTTGATCAAAAAACAGTGTTTAAAATATCCGTTTTCTGTTAATATATATTAAAATGTAATTTATTCCTGTGATGCAAAGCTGAATTTTCAGCTTAATTACTGCAGTCTTCAGTGTCACATGATCCTTCAGAAATCATTCTAATATGCTGATTTGGTGCTCAAGAAGGATTTATTATTATTGTTGAAAAGGATTGTTTAATATATTTTGTGGAAACTGTCAGACGTTTTTTCAGGATTCTTTGATGAATAGAAATTTCAAAAGAACAGCATTTATTTTAAATAGAAATATTTTGTAACATTATAAATGTCTTTACTGTCACTTTTGATCAATTTAAAGGAATAGTTTGCCCAAAAGTACCAACAAAATCTATAATCGTTGCATCCCTAGTGGCTATACTATCAACTGGTTAACAACGTTCTTTAGAATCTCTTCTTTTGTGTTCAACAGAAGAAAGAAACTCATACAGTTTTGGAACAGCTTGAGGTAAATGATGACAGTTTTTTTTTGGTGAACTGTTCCTTTAATGCATCTTTGCTGAATAAAAAATATTAATTTCTTTTTAAAAATAAATCTTAACTAACACCAATCTTTTTAATGGTAGTGTACCTGTATCGTGTGCTTTATATAGCTGTTTTGGAACTGCATTGAATTTATTTAATACACGAGTTTCACAATTTGAGTTGAATTACTGAAATAAATTAACTTTTCCACGACATTCTAATTTATTGAGATGCACCTGTATGTAATAATACTGTGAAAAACCTGACATGCATTTGTTCATTCTTGCTTGTATTTAAGCTGTGTCTATTTCTGACAGGCCCTCCTCAAGAAAACATGGCAAACCCTAAAGAGAAAACTCCCATGTGTTTGGTGAATGAGTTAGCCCGTTTCAACAGGATTCAACCTCAATACAATTTGCTGAATGAGAAAGGGCCAGCACATGCTAAGGTACTGTTAATGAGGAACTGTGATAAAGGCTGCTGTATTTGTTGATTAAAAATCTATTCATTGAGCTAATGGAAAAATACACCCTATCTGTAACTTCATGATACATTAATTAGCTTTGCACATCCTGAAAGAAGCCAGTGCTTAACAATGCAGCAAAGAAGAGTGTAAAATTGTATGTAAGCTTAGGCTTGCTGACTGACATGCTGCATCAGAGATGTTTTGCTCTTGTCATGAAACTGAGAGCACAATAATCGACATATAGGGTAAATGTGGTTTTAAATGGTTAAATAAATGCAAGAAAGATGTATATCCAATCACACTTCAGTTTGCAAATGATGTCATCGTCACTGTCGCTACAGTTTGAATGGTGAACATTCTGAAAATGCAAGTCAGTAGGATTTTAACCCAAAATTTCTTTTAAAAAATTCACAAAGAGCACACCTAAGACTGAACTTAATACAAATATTTAAACAGACAGTTTAAGGAATATTTATAATATTTGTTATGAAAGAACTCAAAACTCGGTTGATCTTTTTAGATCATCTTGGAAAAGGTGGTCTATTGCTGCCAAGATCTCAAATCTGTAAAATAAAAATAATGCTTAGTAGTAAGTAAGGGATAATGTAGAGTCATTATTGTAAAATAAACCCTGACAGGGTGGTCTGGATCTTGTATCATCTTGAAAGATTTTATTTTGCGACATTGACTTGCTGACTATACATTATTCCACTTATTACATGGCTACTTGGCAAATAGATAAATACACAGCACTGAAATATTGATTTGGGTTGAGGTTATTTTATTGTCTTGCTTGTAGACAACTTCTAGATTGGCTGAAAACTTTCACTGTGTTATAGACTAGAAAGCAATCATCCTAGCTCTCCTGCTGGATTGTGTGTGCAGATCTTCACGGTGCAGCTGTGCTTCGGGAACCAGGTATGGGAGTCAGAAGGCAGCAGCATCAAAAAGGCTCAGCACTCCGCAGCTACCAAGGCCCTGACAGAAAGCGTCCTCCCCCAGCCTCTGCCCCGCTCACCTAAAGCCGACTGCAACAGCAACCCAGGTACCAACAATAAATGAACTTTTCCACAACATTCTAATTTATTGAGATGCACCTGTATATATAGGATCTGTTTTTGTCAAGTTAGTTTCATTTATAATATTTTCCCTTTAAACCGGTATGAAATTTCAGATCAGTATTATGCCTCATAGCTGCTAGTATAACAAGCCTATAAGCAAGCTTAACAAAACGTAATAATCACTTTAATCTAGCTTGAGCCAACAGTTGTACATGGAAGCAGCTCCGGGCGGATGACGTAAGATGTCAGTGTTGCGCATGTGCCGGTGAGTCTCGTGAAAACCAAGGTTTGTTTACAGGAGCAAAGGAAGCAAAGTTTCCTTATTTTAGCAAAGGAAAACCAGTCTCCTCTTGGCTTATATTGAAATCCTCAGACATTCTTCTTTCCAAATCCTCGTTTTGTACTAATTAGTGACCGTTGTTTTGTTTTGATCTCTCCCCTGCGCTTCCGCGTTCGTCACTTCTGAGCGGCGCATGTGCAATGCCGACATCTTACGTCATCCTCCCGGAGCTGCTTCCATGTACAACAGTGAGCGCAAGCTAGATTAAAGTGATTATTACGTTTTAAATATGGTTATTTTTCTTATAGGAGGTCTTTGTTCACCCCCCGCAGCCGTGTGAGGCACTTTTTATTATGGATGCATGCGCTTTATTTCACTTCTTTTGGACTGATGAACTGCAACACCCGCTGACTGCCATTAAACAGCTTGGAAGATCAAAGACAATTTTTAATATAACTCCGACTGGATTTGTCTGAAAGAAGAAAGTCATATACACCTAGGATGCCTTGAGGGTGAGTAATTCATGGGCTAATTTTCATTTTTGGGTGAACTAACCCTTTAATTGATATATTGACACGATACACAATACTAAGTCAAAATACCCCCTCACTTTGCTCATTTTTTCAAGTGGACTATTCTATGAATAACATTTACAAAATGTAAAAAATTGTTATTATTATTATTTTATACAGTATGTAACAGGGAGTCCCTGATACATTGATTTCCTTTTTGCAGGCAGCATCACTCCTACAGTGGAGTTGAATGGCTTGGCCATGAAGCGAGGGGAGCCAGCTATATACAGACCCCTGGACCCCAAACCCATTCCCAACTACAGAGCCAATTACAACTTTAGAGGAATGTTCAACCAGAGGTATGTCCTTCAGCCTGTGGATATGTGATTTTCTTAGGACCTCAATGTCTCTGAAGCACGTGAGTGCTGAAAGTTGATATAATGATTCTTTAAAATTCCTACCTGGAAACCTTATTGTCATGAATGACAATGTATGATTCTACAGTAGTATGATTCTGGTAGATGTATTATTTGCCTTTGCTGCCACCTAGTGGTGTCATACTGGTGTTATGTCAAACATAAAAACTCATTTAAAGGGATAGTTCACCCAAAAATGAAAATGTGATGTTTATCTGCTTACCCCCAGGGTATCCAAGATGTAGGTGACTTTGCTTCTTCAGTAGAACACACACGAAGTTTTTTAACTCAAACCATTGCACTCTGTCAGTCATATAATAGGATGCCCTGGGGGTAAGCAGATAAATATCAAATTTTCATTTTTGGGTGAACTATCCCTTTAAGTGAACTCAGATTAGCTGTCAAAATAGGGTCTGGTTTTAGAGATTGACCACTGTATTCAACATTTTAATGATGAAGATGTCTTAACTGTGATTTTGTACTTAGCCTTGATTGTTTGTCAAGAGGGCAACCTATAGGAACTTAAAGAGCAATTCTGCTCATTACCTTTAGGTGGCAGTATTGCCCTGTTTTTTTCCTCAGCCCTTGTGACTTCAGACTTTGGCTTTGCTTACCCATGTTTTACACCGGACATCAAGAGGCAAACCAGCACACTAACAGAAATGTAAAAGTAAACACAACTGTCCTTAATATGAAATATTGAAATGGATTAATATTGCCGTGTGTTTGGATGATGCTGTGATGTGTTCAGATCCCACTGCTTTCCTTTTGGAAAAACTGACTTGTCTTCATAGTTTGAGTGCTTGGTATCTAAATGTCTTTTTGTATTTTGATGGTTTATGCCCTTGACCGGCAATAATTCACAGCACCCATTGTGGTCGCCACGGATTGCAAGCGAACTCACGTTTAATGTAGCCTGGGTTGTATTTTGTTGTACCTTGCATAGTTTTGCTCATAGTTTTTGAAGATGAAGGCATGTCACAACCTGTCCATGTTAGCATCTGTCCCATTGGATTTATGCTGCAAAATATCAAATAAAATACTTAAATACTTTCAAGATTCACTATACACTTTCATATATGTCTAGCATTTGAGTGCGCATTTAGCTCTGCATCTAAAACCTCTAATTTATATTTCTGCAAACTTTGAGTCGCTATTTGTTAGTCAGGTTTATTCCAGCTAAACCGGTGAGGATGAAAAGAAACACGCCAACACTGACGTGTTCATCAGCTAAACGAACAGCGAGAAGCAGAGTTGACGCTAATCGGAAAACTACACTACATTACAAGAAGCACATTACACCTTAATCCAGCTGTCATTTGAAGCTTTTATTTAGACATTTGCTTTCGATTGAAGCTCAATGGACACTGTGAGAACAAAGACGAGGTGAGAAACCCAAGCCTTGTAATGCTAAGATCTCAACCTGATATCAAAAAGCGTTAAAGGGCCTGCGTGTAGTGATTTTGTGGAAAAAATGTATACATGTTTCTCCGCTGCACATCTAGAATTTCTATGATGTAGTCTTTGAAATAGTAATACAACAAGGAGCCAAAGTAAATCGGATCCTCTGTGCGATTACATCATTTTGGTGCGAAGCCTGGCTGGAGACCACCATGGGGGACTGTTGTAGATATTAAGGGTGTTGCATATGAATTATACCCTTAAGTCTTTTGCCCTCTCCTCATTCAACACAGATCCTCTCAGAGGTGTTACAGGCCTCACATAATTTAAACACAGATTCGTTTAATTACAGTTCTCTAATTTACGGTTTTAGTAAAATATTGATGTTGTGTCTGTACTGTTCGTTATGGAGAAGAATAATGGCATGGCTGCAGTGAGTTCTGGGATTATGAGACTGAGAGCATTGACAGATAAATGGGAATATGCATGCTTTAGTCAGAAAGGGTATTGATTAGCAAAAATGTATTTTGATTTATGCAGTGGTACTTAAAGGGGTCATATCATGAGGAATCTTTTAAGATATATAAAAACAAACTGAGTTCTGAAAATCAGAGAAAGCTTGATTTGTGCTTCCGTAGGCAGATTCATGTTTTTGAATACACCATGAATTGGCAGGCCGAGTTAATAAAGAGGAAGTGGCATGGATGCTATTATTCCTAATTCCTAATACCTAAATAGTAGGAGTAAAATGTGAGCCAAACATTGTGCTTTTCTTAGCTTGGTGTAGCACCTACAGCTCTGCATATTGCTCTGAAGGATCCCAGTGTTAGAAACAAGTGACTAAAGTTTGTTTTCAATGTTGTTCTGGTCATGAAAACTAAATTTAAACTTTTTTTGTTTAATTAAAACAAACAAACAATCTTTACTAACTTTATGCGTGGACCATAGGGGAAATATTATGTGTTAATAAAATAAAATAAAATGCATTAAAACTGCTCTTCCTACTTAACAATCACTTTAAAAGTTTAATTTTAGCAATACATTTTTAATACTTTTTAAAATGTAAATGCTCCATTCCTCCTGAAATTGTGCTGGTCTGCTTTTTGCATATTTTAATACGCATAAAGAAACTTACAAACCCCAAACTTTTGAATGGTAGTGTATACTTGGACTTGGAGATGAAGACTGCAGCTTGGTTATGATGTAAGCATTATTTACATACTCTCATTACACTCCTGGCTAACTGGCTTTTAGATGTATCAACTCACTGTTCATATCCTCTTTCAGTCCATTGAGACTGCAGTGGTGCAGATTAACAAAAGCATCTTTTCTGACAACCAAATCATGTACCCAAGAGCTGTAACTCCTCATTATCCCAGCTTAGTTAGACTAAGACCAAATCTGCACTCTCATCCTAGCTTAGTTTAGCCAATCATGTGTGGATCTGAGTGGCAATTGAGCTGCAGTCAGGTGGCATCACACAATTACCTCATTTATCCAGGCCTTTGCTCTTTGTGATTAACATCAGGCTTTGTGTTCCTAACAACATTCTGTGTTCATCTTCCTTGGGGAGCGCCTGCATTCTTTCAGAGTCAAAATTTGGATGGGTCTTTTCCGGGACGACCTCACCTTCTCTCATTTGGGCATGGCAGTAACGCTGCGTCGGTGCTTAACTGTAATAATAATGAGGATAATTGCTGTCGAGCCTCTCCAGTGATATTTCCTGGTCTGATATTGAGCTGTGGCTGAAAAGACTGGAAGCTCAGAGGAAGAGAGTTTGCTTGGCGAGCCGGCATATAGTGAAGGTGGAAATGCGTCACTGTCTAGGCCAAATCAGCACCTTGGTTTGTTTTGATTGCAATAAAGATAACGTGGCTCTGGGGTACGGTTGGCTCAATACCAGATTTTGCCTTGATTCTGGTATCGCAGTATCCATACTAAATACATAACTCCATACAAACAAATGTTAGGTAGGCCATTAAATATGCATGGTAGATTTGCATATCAAATAAACAACTGGAATGTTTACTAAACTAGGCTAATTGAAATATACATGAATGTATTTAAGGGTCACAGGATGAATAATTATCCCTTACTAGTGTATGATATTTATTTAAATATGATCACAAGGTGTGTGTCTGAGCATATTTCCAAAAAAGAAAAAATCTCCAAATATTCCACAATATAAAAATATCGTAACTGAGCAAGAAAATATCAACCATTAACTTACTTTGCTGAAATGGAAACACTTGAATATGAATGATGAGACAAATTTACCTTTTTTAATTTCATCTGCAATTTTTTTTCCCTTTTTCCATGCTCTGAGATGGCCTTTGTATGGGTACGAGTAATTAGAGATGCACCAAAATTTCGGCAACCGAAAATACATTTTTGGATTGAGTCAAAACAGTTTTGAGGGCCTTAATCATTAACTATGAATTAGAATAGAAACATAATTATTTCATTTAAAAAAAAAATGATATAAAAAAACTAGCTTATGTGCAATTTAACAACAGTTTTTATTTGAGTGTTGATTATTAAATAAATTGGATCAATTAACTGGTTATTAAATAACCTGTATTTTCAGTTGCGGTTTACAGCTAAATAAAAACTGTAATTTCAGTTGCAGTGTTTCTGTATAGAATTAATTTCGGTGCATTGTTAATCGTAATACAAATCTATGATTAATTTTCGGAATCAACACAATTTTCATTCTCAAATCATGCATTGCATTTTTACACCCTTTAGCCTTCATGTTTCACTTCAAACTGACTGATCTGTGCATGAGTGCAGTTATATTTTTGACAGGGTTTGAAATTTGCTAAACTTTAAAAATGTAATTTTTTTTTCTACTATGTACCAGACAACCCTAGACGAAGAGCAGAGATAGAGAGAAATAAATATCATTTTGAGACCTCTTTCTTACTCTTGATGCTATGGCTGTCAGTATGAGACTGGTCTTTCATGACATCTAACAATTGTTTCATTTTTAGTCCGGTGCTTTTCTTAGCTCGTTTTTGGCACCTGCTTCTCCTTTTTTAGATTCTCTGAGGGTACTGGGAAATCAAATGATGATTTATGTTTGTGGCATGGTTGTTGGCAAGATAAGATGGTAAAAGGATGGTGCTTTTCACTCAGCACCTACTCCCTCAACCATGAGCAAACCACTCTTTTGCTACAAAGAATATATTGTTTAGTCAGTACACTATCTTTCCTGCTTTCAGTATTTCATCGTTTCTCATCAAAATGAATTTTGCTAAAGGGAAAATCTTTGTTTACTGGAATTGATTTATCTTTCCTGTAACATTTGAGTCATATTTTAGGAATGATGTCTGTCACTGTCAGGCATGCCAAAGATAAAGCCGGTGACCATGACTAGTGTTAAGACATAAATGGACTCTTATGCCCAAAATAGAGTTCTGCATTATGAAATCTGCAGAAGAAATCTTCAGGCCTCACAGGAATTCATGAAACACTGAGAAAACATTTAGGTATCATTTTAAACACCCTTTCACCAAAGAGTGTTTTGAGAATTACTGTTT